CTTAATTCACTTGTTTTGTTTATTCAGTCCATAGATTCAGTCCCACAGGTGACCAACTGGTCATTCATATTGCATGTGAAATCTATGTAAACCGAGATATGTTTATTCATATAGGATGATGGTGTTTATATAATTTGATGATAGGGAAATTATTTTAGAAAAATTCAGATATTTTCAATTTTAAGCCTTTTAAAAGTATGTGCTTTATTTATAAATGTTCACATGGACTGGCCCCCCCTCCCTTAGGGGAACTCATCCACAAAAAACACACTGGACGCTGCACTAGGTCAGAAACCAGAGGAGACTGTGAAGTCCACCGTAGACGGACCACTTTTGGACAAAATGTCCTCTCCATTAAAGGCAGCTCATTGTGGAATAGCCTCCCAACTGAGATACGGGATTGTCCCACTCTCAATAGCTTCAAAGGTCAACTTAAAGAATGGTTGAGAAACAAACAGACGTGCAATCACCGCTAAATGCACTTTAACACAGGGGTATCTCCTCTTGCACTTGTAGCTCTTGTATCTTCTCTTGCACTTTATATGTCGTAGCTGCTACATTGTACTGCCATGTGGTAAATGCTTGTATGCTGCTCATGCTCTTTCTGTATATCATATATTTATTTTTGCTATGTATATAAATGTCAGGTTCTTAAATGTTGTATGTAAGGGACTATGGAGGGAAATTAGCTCAAAGCTAAAATCCGGCATGATAACGTTTTTAAAGCATTATTTGTTTTAAATGTTCATCAATATGCATTGTCCCTCTTCAAGAAACGTTTAAATGAAATGATTTGTTCTTTAGCTGTAGGTGATGTCCAGATCTTAGACACAGACGAATCTCCCTCCCATCATGGACTCCAAGAAGCCGGGGATGCTTCGGCATCTCCGCCAGAAGATGATGCCGCACCTTAGACGAGCGAAGCCGAACCAAAGCAAGCATGTCCTTCAGCTGGATAACACCCTGGACCACCGGATGAGCGCCTCCGTACCCGACATGAGGAACATGAGGCAGGAGTACGCTCACCTCTCCTCCGTCCCACAGCTCCAGCAATACAACTCTCCCAGCTTCAGCAACCCCTCCACTCCACTCGTCCAGTCAGGCAGAGGCCAAGGAGAAGGTGGGGGTGGCCTGCTGATTGGAGTGTACGACGGTGAAGCTGGGAGGAGTGTCCCTGCAGACTACACCGACTGGGCCTCCTCTCATGAGTCATTCAACAGCCTGTGTGGGGAGGAGAATAGCTCTCCAGAGGCTAAACACATAGCACCTGGGGTCATGGAGCCTGAGGAGCTGGGCCTGCCCGAGATGATGACCGTGTACAGCCCGGAGCCTCCGCCACTGGAGGTGTCCCTGGACAGCTCACAGGTACACATTCACACAATAACACACCAAACAACCTCCAAACACCCTCCAAACACAAGCTCATTTAGCATTCAGCAAGTTATTTGTTTACAAAAGATTGCTCTTACTTTGGATGTCTTTTTAATATTCAAGGCTTCTGTTGAAACATTTCCAGTTAGCTTGACAGAAAAAAAGTTTGATGTTGGTTTATTTTTGTGTTTGTTTATTATAATCATTAACAGATAGCATGGCAGTAGTACAGATAGTATAGTATTACTTTGGTTTCTTTTTTCATATTTATGGCTTTTGTAGAATCATTAGCAGTTAGCATGACTGCAGTAAACATCATATAGTATTGCTTGGTTTCATTTGATATTAAAGGCTTTTGCTGAATAATTAGCAGTTTGGGTGAGAGTAGTAGAGCTTGTGTATTGTGGTTTTTTGTTTCCTTGTGCCTCAAAGATAAAAAGATAGCACATTTATCATGAATTGGCTAGTGGAGTTTACTTTGGCTGGTGAGAGGTGTCAGGTGTATTTGCACAGGACTATGAATCCTGGATGAGCTGGATAAAGTTGACATTTGACCTGTGTCTATATTCATTTGTCTACAGCAGCACTGTGCAAACTCTGGCAGTATTTGTTTTATCTGCGTCTCAGAACATAGGTGCCAACCTGGCATGCTCATATTACATTATGCACTTATACCTGATCATTCATTTTATGCTGTGCTCTTAAAGGAAGAAAACACAATGCCTCATTGGGAATTTGAGGAGCTTCTTTATAAGGGGGAGGGTTGTTCAAGATGTGCTGATGTACAACTATTCATTTCTAAACAATGTTATCTTGTTAGTTGTCAGTATCAACAGGTATCATAACAAAAAGTTTCTGTTCCTAAAGATTGTCAATCGTCCAAGGCTCCCACATTGTCCCGAAACACTCCAAAAGTTGCACAGTTCACGCAAAGTTTGGAAAATGTTTTAGTTTAAATATACTCCTTAAAGGTCCCATGTCATGCTTTTCCGGTTATTACCCGTCCCCTTGTGTGTTAAGTAGGTTTTTAATGCTTGTAAACGGTCTGCAGAGTCACAAACCCTCAAAGTACACCCTGTAGCGAGTAAAACTCTAACACAGAAAAGACCTGTCTATGCTGCTCCAGAACGCCTCGTTTTTCCATTGTTTGCTTCCTGGGTTCTGTGACGTGTGAACACCCACATCAACAACAAATGACCGGATTGGCCCAAATGGACCAATCCGCGGAGCATCTCACACACCAGGATCCCTTGGCTAACTAACAGGGAGTCCCCATTGACTTGCATAGAGCTCCCTGAACGCTGCTAATAGACGAGTTGGGATGGCGGAGAAATGCTCTCCGCAGACCCATTCTCACAGCGTTATAAACTTTTTTCTTACTCAATATCAAGCCACACTTATTGTTTTTACTTCGGCTGCGAGTGTTTGTGTGTGCTCAGGATGAGTGTCGCTTGTATCGCCGACCCGGAAACCTGTCCGCTCCTCGCAGCAGCTCACAGCAGCCGTGAGCAGCAAAGAGCCTCACAACGAGCCTCGCAACGTCCCGACCAATCAGAGCACACTGGCCTCACAGAGAGGGGGGGCAGGAGCTCCAACAAGCCGTTTAGGACAGAGAGTGAATACACATACTTTACAGAGATGCTGTATGAGAAACCAATGTGAGTTTGGAAAATTGCACAATATAAATCTATTTTAGTAGACCTCAACAATGGAAATATGATCAGTAGAAATGGCCATGACATGGGACCTTTAAACATGCTTGATTTTTAACATAATCTCGCATAACATTAACA